TTTCTGTCTTGCATATAGGGTTATCATTACCATCTTTCTAAATTCCATATATATGCATTAGTATACTGTATTGGTATTTATCTTTCTGGCTTACTTCACTCTGTATAACGGGCTCCAGTTTCATTCATCTCATTAGAACTGATTCAAATGTATTCCTTTTAATGGCTGAGTAATATTCCATTGTGTATATGTACCACAGCTTTCTTATCCATTCATCTGCGGATGGGCATCTAGGTTGCTTCCATGTCCTGGCTATTATAAACAGTGCTGTGATGAACATTGGGGTACACGTGTCTCTTTCAGTTCTGGTTTCCTTGGCGTGTATGCGCAGGAGTGGGATTGCTGGGTCATATGGCAGTTCTATTTCCAGTTTTTTAAGAAATCTCCACACTGTTCTCCATAGTGGCTGTACTAGTTTGCATTCCCACCAACAGTGTAAGAGGGTTCCCTTTTCTCCACACTCTCTCCAGCATTTATTGCTTGTAGACTTTTGGATAGCAACCATTCTGACTGGCAGAATGTGTCTTTAAAAAATAAGTTTATGTATGTATGTATTTATTTTTATTTTTGGTTGCGCTGGGTCTTCATTGCTCTGAGGAGTTTTCTCTAGATGCAGCAAGCAGGGGCTACTCTCTAGTTGTGGTGTGTGGGCTTCTCATTGAGGTGGAGCACAGGCTCTAGGGCGAATGGGGTTCAGCAGTTGTGGCTCCCAGGCTTTAGACACAGGTCCAATAGTTGTGGTGCACAAGCTTAGTTGCTCTGTGGCATGTGGGATCTTCCTGGATCAGGGATCACACCCAAGTCTCCTGCATTGGCAGAATGATTCTTCCTGCTGAGCCACCAGGGAAGCCCTACCTTTCATTTCTGAAAGACAGTTTTGCTGGACATAAGCTTCTAGGTTGATGGGGTTTTTTTTAGTCATTTGAATAGGTCAGGTCATCCCACTGCCTTCTAGCCTCTACTATTTCTGGTGGGAAGTCAGAGTTTTAATGTTGTTGAAGTTCTCTTGTATGGATGAGTCGTTTCTCTCTTGCTGCTTTCAAGACTCCCACTTGGACTTTCAGTATTTTGCTGTAATATGCCTGGGTCTGTTTCTTAGATCTATAGAAACATCTATTTATGCTTAGTATAATTTCTCAGAAGGTAGGACTTATGTGTATCAATTTGCTACTTAATTTCTATATGTCTTATATCTTTTTTTTTTTTTTGCCTGCATGATGCAGCATGTGGGGTCTTAATTTTTCGACAAGGGATTGAACCTGGGTCCCCTGCAGGGGATGTGGGTTTGATCCCTGGTTGAGGAACTAAGATCCCATATGCTACACAGTGCAGTCAAAAATGAAAAAAAAAAAAATATTGTCTTTCATATTTATCTGTTATCACATTGAAACTCTTTAATTCTGTGTGTGGATTTAAATTACTGTCTAATGTCCTTTAATTTTAGACTTAAGGAATCCCTTTAATATTTCTTGTACAGCAGACTGCTAGTGATGAATTCTCTTCATTTTTGGTTTCCTGGGCATGTCTTATTTTCTCTTTCACTTTACAAGAATAGCTTTTCTTGTTATAGAGCTCTTTGTTGACAATTTTTTCTTTTTTCCCATCACTTTGATTATGTCATACCAACTACCTTTTGACTTTTGTGGTTTCTGATAAGAAATCGGCTATTAATCTTATCAAGGATTCCGTTTCTGTGATGAGTCATTGTTCTTTCACTGCTTTTAAGATTCTTTCTTTCATGTATGTATGGAGAAAGCACTCTTCCTTAGACAGGATCATCTCAATTGATGTATCTTCAAGTTTGCTGGTTCTTCTGCCAGCCCAAATCTACTTTTGAGCCCCATTAGTGAATTAATCACTTTAGTATTGTACTTTACAGCTTCAGAATTCCTATTTTGTTCCTTTAAAAATACTTCCTTTTTATTGATAAATTTGGCAGTACATAATTTTTATAGTTTCTTTTAATTATTTAGACATGATTTCATTTAGTTCTTTGAACATATTTGTATTAGCCATTATAAAATCTTGGTCTAGTAAGTTCATCTGGGCTCACTCACTGATAGTTTAACTGCTTTTTTCCCCCTTCCCCTCTCATTGCCACACTTTCTTATATCTTTGTGTGTCTCATAATTTTTGTTAAAAACAGTATTTCAAATAGTCTGATATGGCCACTCTAGAAACTAGATACTCCTTCTACTTTCCGGAGTTTGTTGTTGTTTGTTCAGGGGCTTTTCTGAGCTAATTCTCTGAAATGTGTACTCTTTGTCATGGCACTTACTGAATTCTCTGCTTGGTTTGCTTAATTGTCAGCTTAAGACAGAGGTCTTCTTTAATGCCTTGAACTAGTAGATCTCCCATTCTGTGCCAAGGGACTCTTTGTGTGTGTTGAGCATAATTTCAACAGTCTATCAGGTTACAACTCTGCCTTTGCCTTCACTTTTTGCTTGAATGGAGCCTCAAGGTCAGCGAGAGATGAGAGACCGGGGTTCGTTTAGGTCTTTCCCTACACAGGCATGTGTATTCTAGATCCCCAGGTATATGTTGGAGCATTTTAAAGCTTCTTTGGACAGTTCATCCCCTCTCAACCAGATATTGTCCCACCAGGCAAACAAACAAACAAAAACCTTTCTCCCTGGGGCTCAAGAAAAGCCTGGTTTGTACAGGGGAAGGACCCAAAGCCAAGAGGTGCATGTATGTGAAACTATCTAGAAATAAACATGAGGCCCAGCCAAAGTTAATCAGACAGGGACATCTGCTCTGTGCTACTCACACCATTCTATGACAGGCAGACCATCAGGGCATCGTGTGGGAAAGGGCAGTGAAGGGGAAGAGCTGCTGCCCACCCCTTGCCCAGCAGCTGACCTTAGACAGGACATTTCTTCCCTTGAAGCATCAGTTTCCTTATCAACAAAATGGGGATAATAACAAATTCTTATCTTTTGCAGAGCTCTGTACGGATCACATGAGAAGAAGGACTTGAGAGGACACAGCACGGGGTCAGGGGTCCATTGAGTCCTTGATTTTCCCTTGACATTTAGATCAGTTATAAACTGGAGTCATAATTCTAATCAGTTTTTAAGTTGAGTAATATACTTTGTCCTAAAAATAGTCACTATCTATTCCTCTTTTTCTTCCAAAAGGGACATCAGGAGCTTACAATAAAAGGCAATAAGATCTTTTACGAGGGCAGCAATGAGAACTGAGTGATGAAGTGTGTATTTGGCAGGCAGTGGTGCAGGGGGGGTGATTACACAGAAAATCCATTGTAATCAAATGCAAAATAGTCTCCAGCTTCTGGGAGTCAAAGCAAACAGAGTACCATGAAAGGCATTTCCTGCCAGTGAACTCTGGGGAGTTTATCTAGTAAGGAACTAGATTGGGTGTAAGCATGCAGCAAATCGAGGGGACAAGAGGCCCATGCCTAGGGCCAGGAAGAAGAATCTGAGCTTCACAGAGAACCTGCCTTGCTTCTCCCAGATTCAGTCTGCCTGGGGTCCTCCTGATGGTGGAGCATGGTTACCACCATGCTCTTCTTATGAAGTTGCCTAGGGGCTGAGCACGTGTGCATTCATTCATTCACTGTTCTGTGCCTATCCATTCCCTGGAGCCTCCTCTGTACCAGGCTGTTAACTGCATGCTGTAGACTTGGGGTGTTATCCCCAGCCAGAGGGATGAGATAAGACTTTTTGGAGGAGATGCTTGAGCTTGGCCAAAAGGACAAAGAATAGTGAACTTGGGGTAACAGTCCAGGTACAGGAGGAGAGATCTGGGTGGGGGAGGATATGCGTGTAGGTTCAGAAGGGGAGGACCCTGGACATAGCTGGAGGTGGGGGGCATGGGAGGAGTAGTGGTGAGAACTGTGCTGAGACAGACTGAGGAGGACAGATGGGAGGTCTGGTGTGGGAGTGGGGAGGGAGGGATCACGGAGGATGCCCCTTGTCTGCATAGGGATGTCTGCATAGGGAAGCAGGTGGCTGGAGGTCCCCTTCCTGCAATGGGGAGCTGGATGAGAGCAGGCTAGGGGAGGTGCTGTGTTCAGTGGGGCCCGGTTCAACCTCTGGGTCCAGAGGGGATGACTTGGCTAGAGGAAGGAAGAGGGGCATTATCAGCATTATGGGGGTGCCAGAGCCAAGGGGTGGGAGAGAAAGAAGGCCAAATCCATTTAAGAGGCAAGTGGGGTCCCATAGGAAAGGTATATGAGAAGAGGTCAGAGATGTGGGAGAAAACACAGGCAAGAGTCAGCGGGGGGCCTGGGGGAACAGCAAACATGAGGCTCAGAAAGAGAGACAGCAATGCACTTGTGTCTGCCCATGTGGCCACCTGGAGGTCAGTGGTAACCTTTGGCCAAAATGATGTGAGTGGAGTGGCAGTGAGAAAAGGCAAGGTGGAGGAGATGGGAGCCTGATAGGGGTGTGCAGCCTCTGAGGGAAGCTTCACGGTGAGTTGGGGAAAGGGTATGAACAGAGAGAGTGCATTTTGGGTGAAAGGAAGATGGCAGGTGGGAGGCTGGCAGCAAGTGCAGGCGAGTCTGCAGGTTGTATGGCAGGAAAGTGAAGGGGTCTTCTCCTAGTGGCTCTGCCAAGGGAAGGACCGGCCAGCTCTGGGGAGGGATGGGGACACAGAGGAGAACCATCTTGTGTCAAGGAACCCAGGGTAGCCACCCTGGGTGTGGGATCACCATCTATTCCCACAAAGACAGGAGGTCGTTTCAGAGTGGAAGATGGGGGATTAAAATTTCTGAGGCTGATAATGAGCTTCAGGGAGTGGCCAAGAGCATAGAGGGGACTGTCACTGGAATTGGAACACTGGAATGATGCCAAGAAGCCAAGACGGCAGCACTGGCCACTGCAGCTCTGGGGACAGTGGCTGGAACTGGAGGGGGAGACAGAGACCCGGTCCTTAGTTATGGGCTGGTGCAGGGACTGGCACCTCCAGCCAGGTTCCAGGTCAAGGGCAGACTTCCAGGTCAAGGTTTAGGAACTAGAAAACCTGGGACTCACCGGGATCACCTCTTCTTCCGGGCTTGCCACGCCGTCCAGGGGGGCCTAGACAGGAAAACAAGGATGGACTCTTTAAGATGGGAAGCCAGTGGGCTTGGGTACAGCCTGCCTGCTGCCAGCTGCCCCCAACTCACACGCATTGCAGCAGCCGTGGGGACAGCCTGCCCACCACCTTGCTGGCTGGGAGAGTGGAGAGGAGTGTGAAGAAAGCTCTGTCTCCTGCCCCTCCCTTACCCCTGCTCCTCTGGATCATTCTTACTGGTTGCATTCTCATCCCCCATTCATTCATTTAGTTATTCAATTATCTGTTTATTATTTCATTCACAAGTTCTTTCCCATTCAGAAATGTACACCACTTAGAAACACTTGAGGCAGAAGATTGCTGCTGAGAAACTTCAGACTTACAAGAAAAATAAGGCTGAGGATGGCAGTTATCTTATGAAAGCCTGGACAAATGCTTTTTAATATTCACTAAAATAAAACAACAGAGAGAGCACACCACATAAAAACACTATCAAGTGTACATGCTCAGTTGCTTCTGTCATGTCTGACTCTTTGCACCTCCATGGACTGTAGCCCACCAGGCTTCTCTGTCCATGAGATTCTCCAGTCAAGAATACTGGAGTGGGTTGCCATGCCTTCCTCCAGGGGATCTTCCCAACCCAGGGATCAAATCCAGGTCTTCCGCATTGCAGGCAATTCTTTACCACCTGATGCTCTTCTCCAAAAGACCCTATCATGGCATCTCAGATGCTTAAACTCAGTAATAACAGACTCTATCCTATCCACCTACCTCCTTCCTCTGTTCGCTAAATGCTTGGGCACCTCCCTGCCCTTCCCCACAGCTCTAGGGAGACACATAAAGTTCTTGTGATTTACTGCACATAATGTGCACACTGATGCATGTGCTTTTTGGTATCCAGTCTCATCCCATGTTTTTGCACTTTCTGAATCTGATGTAGACCATCCTGCCTTCACCTTCTGCCCCTGGGCCTACATCAGCCCGCAAGACCAGAGTGACCGAGATGCTGAAGCGGAAGAGGGCTCTGGGTGCCGGAACAGGCGGCAGGGCTCAGAGAACAGCTCACCTGGCCTTGGAGTGGAGGGCGGGGCTCACGCCTCCTTGTCTTCCCCTCCCTGTCTGTTTTCACTCCTCGTTAGTCTAACTACCCCTGGTTCTTTCTCCTGTTTTCTCAGATGCTGGAGAAGGTGTGCAGAAATGAAGACGCAGGCACTAGATTGTAATTTATACCTCTCTACCTCCTGCCCCCCACTGTGCTCCCAGCTCTGGGCGAGGCCCGGAGGCAACTGAGGAACAGCCTGTGTCATAAGCACTGTCCTTTCCTGTAAACCTGGAGAAGAAAATGGCAACCCATTCCAGTATTCTTACTGGGAAATCCCCATGGACAGAGGAACCTGGTCAGGCTACAGTCCATGGGGTTGCAAAGAGTCAGACACGACTGAGCAACTTCACTTTCCTCTAAAACTTTAAGGGGATTTCCCTGATGTTCCAGTGGTCAGGACTTTGCTTTCCAATGCAGGGGTTTTAGGTTTGATCCCTCGTAGGGGAGCTAAGATCCCACATGCCTCAGGGCCAAAAAACTAAAACATAGAACAGACACAATATTATAACAAATTCAATAAACTTTAGAAATGGTCCCCATCAAAAAAATACTTAAAAAAAAAAGCCAACTTTAAACCCCCTCAAAAATTCCTGGAACAACCAGAGTAGAGGCAGAAACTAGCCATGAAGCAGGTCTGCGGTAGGAGGGCTCAGTGAGAAATTAGCGTGCCTGTGTGTGTTTCCCTTTATTGTTCTCTTCATTTTTAAGCAGGCAGTCGTTCCCATTTGTGGGCTTCCTGGATAGCTCAAATGGTAAAGAATCTGCCTGCAATGTAGGAGACCTGGGTTTGATCCCTGGGTCAGGAAGATCCCCTGGAGAAAGGAATGGCAATCCACTCCAGTATTCTTGCCTGGAGAATCCCATGGACAGAGAAGCCTGGTGGGCTGCAGTCCATAGGATCACAAAGAGTCAGCCACTACTGAGCAACCAACACTTTATTTATCTTTGCGCTGAGTCTTCATTGTGGTGTGTGGGCTTTCTCTAGCTGTGGTGAGGGGAGGCTACTCTCCAGCTGTGGTGTGTGGGCTTCTCATAGCAGTCTTCTCTTGCTGCAGAGCATGGGGCTCCAGAGTGTGGGCTCAGTAGGTGTGCGGCACAGGCTTAGTTACTCTGTGGCATGTGGGATCTTCCTGGAACAGGATCGAATACGTGTCCCCTGTATTGGCAGACGGATTCTTCTCCACTGTACCACCAGGGAAGTCCTTCTTCCTTTTTAAGGCTGAATAATGGTTGGTATAGTCAAAGCTATGGTTTTTCCAGTAGTTGTGTATGATGTGAGAGGTGGAAGGCTAAGGCTAAAGGTGGAAGGCTAAGGCTAAAGGTGGAAGGCTAAGGCTAAAGAAGACTAAGCGCCGAAGAATTTATTCTTTTGAGCTGTGGTGTTGGAGAAGGCTCTTGAGTGTCTCTTGGACAGCAAGGAGATCAAACCAGTCAGTCCTAAAGGAAATCAACCCTGGGTATTCTTTGGAAGAACTAATGCTGAAGCTGAAGCCCCAATACTTTGGCCACCTGATGTGAAGAGCTGACTGGTTGGAAAAGACCCTGAGGCTGGGAAATACTGAGGGGCAGGAGGTGAAGGGGCCACAGAGGATGAGATGGTTGGATAACATCTTCAACTCAATGGAGATGAATTTGAGCAAACTCTGGGAAATAGTGAAGGACGGGGAAGCCTGGCATGCTGCAGTCCATGGGGTTGCCAAGAGTCAGACAGGACAGAGCGACTGAACAATAGCCCATTGTATGTGTCTGCCATATTTTCTTCATCCATTCATCTTTTTTGCTGTTCTGGGTCTTCACTGCGGTACATGGGCTCTCTAACTGTGGTGTGTAGGCTCAGCTGCCCCTTGAGCATATGGGATCTTAGATCCCTGACCAGAGGTTGAACCCTCATCCCCTGCATTAGAAGGTGGAATTTTAAACACTGGACCACCAGGGAAGTCCTGTCTTCAACCATTCATCTTATCAGTTGATGGAACTTGGGTTTCTTCTACCTCTTGTGAACAATGCTGCAATAACATGGGTGTGCAAGTATCTCTTCAGGATCCTTTTTCAACTGGTTGGGATACATACCCACAAGTAGAATTGTTGGATCATATGGTAATTCTATTTTTAATTTTTTTAGGAAACGCTATTCTGTTTTCTAGGGTGGCTACACTATTTTATATCCCCACCAACAGTGCACATGTGTTTTGTTATTTCTCCACATCCTTGCCAACGCTTGTTACTTTCTGTCTTGTTTTTTTTTTTTTTTGATAGTGGTCATCCTAATGGGTATGAGGTGATATCTTGTAGTTTTGACTTGCATTTCTCTAATAATTAGTGATGTTGTGTACCTGTTAGCCATTTGTATATCTTATTTGAAGAAATGTCTATTCAGATCTTTTGCCCAGTTTTAAATTGAATTGTTCTTTTGTTGCTGAGTTGTAGGGGTTTTCTATTTATTTATTTTTAGTTGGAGGATAATTGCTTTAAAATGTTGTGTTGGGCTCTGCCATACATCAACATGAATTGGCCATAGGTATACCTATGTTCCCTCCCTCTTGAACCTTCCTCCCACCTCCCACCCCATCCCACCCCAGTAGATTGTCACAGAGCGCTGGATTGAGCTCCCTGCATCATACAGCAAATTTCCACTGGCTATTTATTTTACATATGGTAATATGTATATTTCAATGCTACTCTCTCAATTTTCTCCACCCTTTCCTTCTCCCACTGTGTCCATAAGTCTGTTCTCTCTGTCTCAGTCTCTATTGCTGTTTTGGGGTTCTTTATATATATTCTGGATATTAACCCATTTTTAGGTATAGAGTTTGCAAATATTTTCTCCCATTCTGTAGGTTGCCTTTTGTCTCTGTTGATGATTTTCTTTGCTGTGCAGAAGTTTCCTTAAAATTTTACTTATTTATTTCATTTTATTTTTGGCTGAACTGGGTTTTTGTTGCTGTGCTTGGGCTTTCTGCAGTTGTGGCACATGGGCTTCTCATTGTGGTGGCTTCACTTCTTGCAGACCATGAGCTCTAGAGTGTGGGTTCAGTAGCTGTGGTGCATGGGTTTAGTTGTCTCTCGGCATGTGGACTCTCCCTAGACCAGGGATTGAACCCATGCCCCTTGCATTGTCAGGTGAATTCTTAATCACTGGACCACCAGGGAAGTCCTAGAAGTTTCAAAGTTTGATATAGCCCAATTTGTCTATTTTTACCTATTTGACCATTAAGTTAATTTTAACTTTTAACCTTTTGAGCTAATTTTTATGTATAATATAAGGGCAGGGCAGGAAAGGGGCCCAAGAGTGGGAGAGTAAGCCATGCTCTTCCTGGATCTGAAAGCTAAAGCAGCACTATGGTTTTCTGATGGTCATAACGGGGTATGACTGCAAAATTCTCTGTCTGAGTAACACAAGCCAGATGAAGAAGACATTTGTTGTTGCTGAGGGAGCTGAACTAACGGATTTTTCTGGGTGGTTCTTCTGGGTGGCATAGTTAGGCAGAAGGCCCAATAAGGAGGATGTTAAGTGGGCAGGCAGCTGTTCAGGCGTGGTGGGGTGCCCCCGCTTCCCAGGGCCTTTGGGGGAAGCTCCCAGCAGGCCTGGAGTGGGCGAGGAGCCTGGGTACTGATGAGTGCATGTGGCCTGTGGGGCTGTAGGCCTGACAGGCTGGACAGGACTCCCAACTGAAATGGCCTAAGTGAAGAAGGAGACTGAGGCTGCTGCTTGTGAACCCTCTGCAGCCGGTCCGAATCAGATCCCGGCAGCCTCTGTGTGAACAGCTCACAAATAGACAGCTGGTTGACCCTCTCTTCTGAAATTCACACTCAAACCTTCAATTGCCTCCAGGATAATTCTATTGAAAGGCAACATGTCCAAAGCCAAAATCACCTCCCAATTCTCCATGTGCTCCCTGACAGGGTTCTCTTCTCACCTAA